TAGTTCGACGGAAGAACTTTCCATATAATCTCGAACAATTTTATCCGTCCCCATTTGGATTACGGAAACATAGTATTTCCTCCCTCATTCCAAAGAGTAGAGACACTCTAGAACGTATCCAACGGCGAGCCACGAAATCAGTTCGGGTACTCAGATTCAAGTCTTATGAAGAGCGTCTCCAATCACTGAACCCTTGCCCATCGGAGTACAGGCATCTTAGAGTTGACCCTCTAACGGATTACAGCATCATAAATATTTCTGAACACCCCTTTAAACACCTACTTAAGCTTAGTCCAAACACAAACATTAGGGGTATAACTCAGAAACTGGAGAATCAACACAGCGGAACAGATTGTAGACAAGTTTCCTATTCCTTAAGGGTAGTCAAATGCTGAAATTCTCTGCCGGCTGAGCTAGTCCAAGCGACTTTTTGGGAGTCATACAAGAGGAAACTTGATATACTCCTAAGGACTAAGGACATTATCTTATTATGAATTACCAAGTTATTTTACTTTTCCTCTTTTATCGATAATGTATCTAGCTTCCTTCCTGGAGGTATTGGTGATTCACTGCTACTAGACACGGAAGCCCGTTAAGCGAAAGCTTCTTCTATTCCATCCACAGCCATTTGAACCATTTGGTGTTCGTGTGACACTAAGCAAACTTGGAGTAGACTTTTCCATGTCTGCTTTTTCTTGTGAATAGTCCTACGCATTTCTATAACATATTCTGCTTCCTAACTGTTGTCTGTATTTTTGTGAATTCGCTCTCATTTTTGAAACAGATCGCTGTAATTATTACTATATTATGCACAAATTTTGAGTCCCAAACATTTCCTTGATGTTATTGACTGTCTTAATAACAGTTTTATCTTTGTATTTCTTAACACATTTTATTGGATTGCTATACTTTGAATAATACTTTGTGAACTGCTTGCATTTATTTCATGTGGTTGATTTAGAAATACGCTCCCTGTTTGTTTCAGAGACATTCACTACTATTCACCTTTAATTATCAGTATTTTTCTACAAGGCTAAATTTTTAGTTGATTGTTCATACTGAGAAAGATAATGTGTAGGACTATTGATCATGTTTGATCGTGCCAACATTCCGTTTAGCGGTGCCGGTGTCACCATATTAAGACCTTGTGAATGGTTAGAACACAGATTCAGAGAGAATTCGCGATGAAAGCATGAGAGATACTAAGTCTTATTATTGTTGTTGTTTGGTAAGTTGCAATCGACATCATGATAATATTGTTGTATCAGCGAATGAACTTGTTGTGATATTTTGACAAACAGATTCTTGTGTCATTGACTATTTACTATCTCTGGTATGGCAGTATTTCATCATTCATAAGGACGTCTATATTACAACCGAGAAAGTTCATTTTTGAGGCGAGCTGAACTGACAGACACTTCCTCGGGTAGAATATTGTTACTTGACTGACAGTGATGCCTCTTCTGTTGTGTTTGTCCATTTTTTGTACTTACGTTATTTTTAATCATTCCTCTTTTGGGTATTATCTACATCATTTTAAATGTTTATTAAACCACTATTATGAAGTTGTTGGCTTTTGCCATCTTTTGAACTATTGGACTTGTGAGAGTGTCACTGTGATTCTATCAATCACACGGACAATGAAGTAGTTGAATTTTTAAATCTAACAAAACGTTTTGTTTCACTTATGGATGAGTGGGTGTTCTTCTAAGCTTGATTTATTACTGAAAGGTGTTTGGGGTCTATTCAAATAAAGAGAATCAAAGCAGTGTGATACATTATGACCATATGCTTTCGATCCTCCTGCACTGTTCTGACTTCGGGCTAATAGCTTTCGAGCTCAGTTGAACTTATTGTCTAGTCAAAGCTCATTATTCGATGCTTTTATATAAACACAATCTAATAGAGCGGCATCGTTTTTCATGTAAGGGGACGTTGCGCTGGATGTTTTCCAGATAAAGTTTTAGATAGACACTTCAGACGGTCTTGAAAACTTCTGAAGTTAGGCTACCAAATTTTCTAGAAACAAACCACAAGAAGGAGCATGCTCTATTGGATACTGCTAATGAGAAGAGACGCATGGAGTTTTTTTCGGTGGTGAGAAATGTGAAACTTGAATCTCTTAAGAATCGTGTAAAGTATGGAATGTCTATGATATTCACCACTAATGTTCTTCATTTAGAAGTTTCGAGCAAAAGAAACATTTCGGTAGTAATGTCTAGTCATCTTGAATGGTCGAGACGTGGAAGGGTCAGCTGGACCAGCTGATTCCTGAAGGTCATACACTTAAAGGAGAGTTTGAGGGAATCATTATTGTTCCTTATGTAGAGAAATAGTCCAGGGATCGAGCATTGTTTCACTGCAAAGAAGTGTTTTAGTAAGCATAGTCTGAACGCGTCAAACAGCACTCGATCTGTCGACACGCAAATCGACATGAAGCAAACTAAGGTTAGTCCGATAACAGATGACTCACGCCCGTCAAAGAAGGAAAAGCGGTCTCTAAAGAGGCTCAAGAAAAGTAGGGTCTTCGGTTCCCCGTCTCACAGATGGGGTCCAACAGGAAACACCTAGGAGCTGCAATCGCAAGGCTCAATCGGTTTCAAGCGGTAAACATAACCTGACCTCTCAGGTCTTCGACAACCCCCCAAAATCCAACGCTAGGTTTGACGCAACTGTTATTGCTTCTACCAGCACCGTTGACGAATGGGTACAGGTTGTAAGGAAGAAAAAAGTAACAGTATAAAAGGTAATCCTACCCCCGCGAAAGTAGTTGAAAAATCGAAAGCTGTTCATAGCGACAGATCAGTTACTTTTCATAGAATCAAGGAGAGCGATAGCTCTGAACCTAAAGCTCGTTTTGAGCATGACATTGTACTGATTAGGCAACTGCTCAATCAACTCATGCCTCAAAATATGACCGGGGTCACCTTGCTAAAGGTGTACAGACTAGGTAGTCTAGTGGACTCGAAACCAAATCATTCCAGACTGCTTAAAGTAGTATTCGGCTCTTCGAACGAACGTGACCTAATTTTACAGAATGGACACAAATTAAAGGGTTCAAGAGTCTTTATTCGAATGGACCTACCGTTGGCAGACCGTGTTAAAAGACGGGAAGACGAAAAAGAACTACAACTTAGGTTAGACGCTGGCGAAAAGGACCTGAAAATTGCAAATTTTTGGGTTGTAAGACTTCGATAGAGAATGATGCCGAAGCCACTCTGGGTGAAGCACGAGTCCTACGCTGGGTGACACGAGATCGAATCCGCCAGGGAGCACCAGTTCCCTCAAGATTACAGGTACACCTTGCTGACGAGTGCCAAGCAGCACGAAACCCGGGTCCAGGGTTCCCTGTTGACTACATCCAACCAACATCTAACTTAAACAGGCTTCGGATTTGTTACACCAATGCACGAAGCTTATTTAATAAGCGATCGGAACTAGGTGTACAGATTGACCCTACAAAGCCAGACATAATCGCAGTAACAGAAACCTGGCTGACACAGGCTATAGATATTATGGAACTTGATTTCGAGGGTTTTACGTTAGTAAGGGCCGACAGAACACAAAAGTGCAAAGGACGGGTAGTAGCTCTATTCATTAGGAATGCTATCCCATTTGCCATCATCGATAGGGTATCCCATGAGAGTGGGACGTGAGAATTAGTTAGTTGCCGCTTGAAATGCAAGGGACAAGAGCTGCTGATTGGTTTGGTTTATTGCAGTCCAGGCTGTGCGGCAAATGAGATCCTGTTAAGCAGTTGTCTAATCCTAGGGGAGGCAATTTATTGATGTGGATAAAAGACTTCTTAGTTGGGCGTCAACAAAGAGTAGGAGTGAACTCAAAGTTATCTAGCTGGGAAATTGTGCTTAGTGGAGTGCCCCAGGGTACAGTTTTGGGGCCAGTGCTATTCCTCTTGTATGTAAATGACCTTCCTCGTCTCCTATCATCATCGGTCTTGCTATATGCTGACGATGTCAAGATATGGAGAACGATACGATGTAAGAGTGATAGCTTAGAACCTCAAAATGACCTGAAGAAGTTATCTGAATAGTCTCAAACATGGCAGTTGGCGATAAATACTCCCAAGTATGTTGTGATGCATATCGATCATCAAGGCACAGATACATACAAGAGGAATAGCACTGAGCTACCTGTCGTCCAGACATATAATGACTTAGGAGTTATCGTTAGTCAAGACTTAAAGACTACTGCACACTGCCGTGCAATAGCCGCCAAAGGCTTTAGAACATTATGGTCAATACGTAGAGCTTTTAGTCATGTCGACGCTAAGACGTTTTTGACTTTGTATGCAGTGTTCGTTCGTCCTAAACTTGAGTACTGCATACAAGCGGCTAGCCCCTGCTTAAAAAAGACAGTGAGCTTCTGGACAAGGTTCAGAGAACGGCGACTAAGCTGATTCCTGGAATAGCGAAGCTTCCGTATGAAGTTCGACTGGATAAGCTTAACCTTTTCCCGTTGTCATATCGCAGAACTAGAGGCGACTTGATTACAGTCTACAAATTGCTTAGTCATAAATTTGCACCTAATATGCCCTCATTTTCCTTGTCTTACAAAACAGAGAATTTACGAGGACACTCCAAAAAAGTTCATAAGCCAAGAACAAATTACTTGTCAGCTGACTATCGACTTTCCCATGGAATCATTAATGAGTGGAATTCACTACTTCAGCACGTGGTTGAGGCTCCATCCGTCGACTCTTTCAAAAGAAAGTTGGATCAACTGAGAGACCACCATTGCCAAGACTAACATAGGCCATCGAGCCTCCTGTCCTTCCCAAACTGAAACTGAGACCATTCGTTTACCTCGTTAGTCTCGTCAGTTCGGTCGCAACGTCTGGTTTGACAGTGCTACAATCGGTTTGCGTAAGTTTTTGTACTGAGTTCTTTCATCATATGGATCTGCTATGAAGAAACAAAATGAAATAGGGGCATGACTATAATGTCTTGAGAACTAGAAGATTGGCGAGTGAATATAAAGTACAAAGCTCAAATGCTGCCGCGTTTTTAAATGTTAAGTGTTTTTGTGATTATCCGTGAGTTCGTGAGGCATCCGGTATTTTACGTCAATTTAGTGGTTAAATAAATTATATTAAACGTAGATGAGGCAAATTACATAACATCTTATTTCATCTCTACATGCAAAGTTTATTGACTCAATTATTTTAAGACATTTCATTCAATTGATCAACCCAAACAACCAATATAGGAAAATAAAGGCAAAAAAGGGGAAAATGCGTTGGAAAATAGAGGGGAAATAATGGGGGAACGCGCCAAAATGTCTGCTTTTCTTCCTATCCGGGGGAAATAATGTGGGTTTTCCCCTTTTGTCGCTGTCTTTCAAATGCTGATGAGTTGTCTATTTTTCGCCTAAATACACTCCGAATCGTCTTCTTTTTACCTAAATATACGCCGAATTGCCTGATTTTCGCCCAAATACGCACCGGTTTCTCTAGTTTTGCTTGCACTTTGGAAACACCTTCGGCATAACCCCAAACGTCTCATGTGTTCGCACTTATTCCAATAACACACCACACGAAAACTGCAATCCACGTGATAGATAGTTCAAAGAAATGTGCGTTTCTTTAAACGTTCAAGGAGATTTGTTGAAAAGAAAAGCGTATTGTTGTATAACATGATGAGTAGTTGGCAGATGCTAGAGCATCTATCGTTATGTATTTTAATTGTAATTGCCAAGTCTTACTGTAATTTGAAAATATCTACGAAAGAAAGAACAATGGATGTATTATCAATAAGGCACGTGTACTTAATTTCAAGTGCATTTAAATTCAAACAAGCAAATTTGCTTGAACAGATATCGATATCTGTTTTGATCAGAACTTAATACGTTAAAAATGTGATACTCGTGGTACTATCTCCTTGTCTTTTTATGTAGTTTGGTATTTTAAATGAGTACTCCCTAGTGTCGTAGAGAACATCTATCTTGTACTTTGTATATTACTCGTATTGCACTCTACTGTCAACGTTGTTTTCTGGTCTACCTGTATAAGCGTTCATCTAGGTTCCTGATACAAAATAGTGCTGCGTTTTGAGTGCAGATGTTTGTGGAAGAAAAAAATAGAATGTCCTGAATTTCTAGAATGGTATGGACGAGAGTGGGGAGAGTCCTCTCTCCCTCTCGAAACGCTCCCATATGGCCACGCGTATATAGCCTCTGCCAGGTAAGTCCTACTCACTGTCTTCTCGTGGCGTAAGATACAACCACTTTTATGAAGAAAGTAAAAGGTTATAGCAGGATCGCCACTGGCTTCTATTCTGAGCCATATCTGATAACTTCTCTAGCCACTGTGTAGCACCATCTCTCGGACCCCAACCAGGGAATCGTGAAGGACCGACAGAAGCCAGCCCTTCGCAGCTTTCTTTCATACAACGACCACCTCGGCTTTTTCCAGCCTGTCCTAGCGTCGGCAAATAATGCACGACATGGAATTCTCTGGGACGACATTCGTAGAACATGTCCAAGCCACCGAAGTCGATGTTTCAAGATGGTGACATCAATCGCATTATCGTCTCTGTGCCCGGACAAATATGATGAACTGTCGATGATTATGGAAAATACTTGCTTCGATTAACAAATGGCGTGTGAACCGATCGTCGGTCACCGGCTACCATGGGACTGCATCTCCTGACGTTACTCCACTTCTTTGTGGATCAGACATTCAGGTTGAAGGCCCCGGGTGTGGCCTCCTAAGAACACCACCTTCGGTTTGGGCACCCGGGCAGTATCACAGCCCTCACACATATCAAATGAGATGTGTGGTGCATATATATTTGGTGCCTATTCGTACCAATATCTGTGTTAATATAAATAAGTAAATAAATAAGATTTCCTCAGTGTTATAAGATCCTGGGAAAATATTGGGAAAGCCCAAAAAACTTAAGAATTTTTCCAAGACCTGGGGGCATTTTGGCGTTTTTGTGCCATTTCCCCAAAATTGACAAAATTTTCTTCAAAATAGGGAGATCGGGCTTATGATGTATATCCAGGCTCGTTCACAACAGATCGATATTTGTTTGACTACTTACTACGTTTCTGTTCTCCATTCTTCTAGCTATTTGGACTGAGTTTATGAGATTTAACCTTTCTTATTATATACAGGTCTTTTTGCGGCTAGATCCTGTATACATTATTAATACTGAAACCAAAGATAAGGAAACTGGTCCTACTATCTTTTTAACAGGCTGATTTCCACTTCTAGTGGTTTTTGTAAAGTATAGTTACCAATAAGTCATTACGTTGAAAACGTTTTGATTACTTGTAAATATGTGGCAGTGTAAATCCCATCTTGTTCCATTGTAGACCAATGAAGCGTCCCCTTAAAGTTCAGCAGCCCGCTGATAATGAGGAAGACGACTCAGAAAGCTTTAAAAAAGGTTGTTTACTAGTGTTGCTAATCAATTAACTGTACAGTTAGGCGTGTAGTCTGCAAAGGTAAAGCACCAGTCGACGTTGAATGTGTTGCTAAAGTCAATTCAGCTTATGTTTATTATGAAGGCGATGATATTTACGATGCCATGCTAAATCAGGTAATAAAAAGTAATTTTTTAACCATAAAGTGAACTATTTTAGACTAATGTTCAAAATAATAACAATAAATACTACATTATACAGCTTTTAAAAGATGAAAGTATAAACAATTACTCAGTCTGGTTTCGTTGGGGTCGAGTTGGGAAATCTGGCCAAAATAAACTTGAAAATTTTGGTGGTAATTTACAAGCTGCTAAGAGTTGTTTTGAAAAAAAGTATAATGACAAAGATTTTGCAGTTGTAAACGTATTTTTAAAAATAGGTTTCTAGACAAAACACTAAATCAGTGGGGAGAAAGAAGGAATTTCATAAAACACAATGGAAAGTATGATATGGTCGAAATTGATTATGGTGTACAAGTTGGTCTTTAATATATTTTTGTATTCACTTCTAAGGATGAAAACGCAACTGCAAAGAAAAAGAAGGTTAAAGAAGTTAAATCACGACTTCCTGTTGCCGTGCAGGTAAATGTTTTGTTAGAAGTTATTCTATAGTAGTTACACTTTCTGTAAATCTATTGCTTCCTCACAATGAAAAATATGAACTATGACTCATAAACGTACTCAGTACCATGAAAAGAAAACTTAGTTCAAACTTTTTCCTGAGAGCTAAAGGTGCTATTGGAGATTTCAATTTTAGTCTATTAGTGTAAGATGTGCGCTCGTAACACTGACCGAAAGGGTAAATTAAAGCTCTACGTTTTGAATACTTGGATTGACACTTCACTTAGCATAAAATTGACTGTTATAGTCATTTTCTCGAACCGATGAATTAAGACTTCTTAGTGGTTTAGTAAGGATCAGTTTGCTAAAAGTCGCACCACTTGTTGTAGATGTATGAGTGGTAATTATGCTACAACTGGGTTTCTGCAGGTTCCTTACAACTCATTGAAGCCCGTCGGTCTACTCCGGGTGACCGTGAGTTTGACCATAAACGAAGGATGCTATGTAAGGAAATCGGGCAAAGCTTGCGTAAGGACCGAGAAGCCTGGTGGTCGATGCGTGTTAATGAGCTGGAAGCAGCAGCTGCATCTGGTAACTACCGGAAGCTCTTCCAGCTCATCCGAGCCACTGGCAGCAAGAAGTCTGGTGTGAGTGAAACAATCTGCGAGGATGATGGGATGCCAATCACTAACATCCATCGACGTCTTGGACGATGGGCAGAATTTTTCGAAGGGCAGTTCAACTGTCCTGCTGCTCCGGCAACATCGGTCAGACTGTCCTGCCCTCCATGGCCGGTGACGACTGATCCACCAAACGAGGAGGAAGTCCGCAAGGAACTCCAACTCTTGAAGCGTTACAAATCACCTGACCCAGATGACTTACCTCCGGCTCTTTTTAAAGATGGTGGTGACTTTTTGACTAAGGAATTGACGACGTTGTTTACAAAGGTTTGGGAACTAGAGAGTGTACCAACGTCATGGAATGAGTCGATAGTTGTCCCTATCTTTAAAAAGGGTTCACGTCGTTCTTGTAACAACTATCGGGGGATAAGTTTACTTCCGATTGCGTCCAAGCTATTGGCTTCCGTCATTCTTCGTAGGTTGTTCAAAACCCGAGAAAGATTGACTCGCGAGGAGCAGGCTGGGTTTCGTTCTGGTCGAGGATGTATTGATCATATCTTCACCCTCCGCCAAATGTTAGAACACCGCCATACTTTTCAAAGGCCAACAATCGTAGTGTTTCTTGACATCAGGGCTGCCTTCGATTCGTTGGATAGGACTGTTCTCTGGGATTGTCTATTGAAGAAGGGTGTGCCTGAGACGTTTATTAACATCCTAAAAGCCCTGTATAAAAACACCTCAGGCAGAGTGAGGGCATACAACCACCTCTCTCCATTGTTCCATTCGAGCAGTGGGGTTAGGCAGGGTTGCCCAATCTCACCATTCCTCTCCAACTTTGCCATCGATGACATTCTGGAAACAGCTCTGATGAATGTAAGTAATGGTGGTGTGGATCTGTTGCCTGGAGAAAGACTTCTCGACCTTGAGTATGCGGACGATATTGTCTTACTGTGCGATAATGCCCAAGGCATGCAATCCGCACTTAATCAGTTGGCAATCAATGTCCGTAGGTATGGTATGTGCTTTGCACCTTCGAAATGCAAAGTACTTCTACAAGACTGGCAGTATTCTAATCCTGTACTCACCCTGGACGGTGAGCAGATAGACGTAGTTGAGAAGTTCGTGTATCTGGGTAGCTGCATAAGTGCTGGTGGGGGTGTGAGTGATGAGATCAATGCACGAATAGTGAAAGCCAGAGCGGCTTATGCCAATCTGGGCCATCTATGGCGCCTTCGTGATGTTAGTCTGGCCGTAAAAGGTCGGATCTACAACGCGTCGGTGAGAGCAGTTTTGCTCTATGCTTGTGAAACCTGGCCTCTCCGAGTTGAGGATGTTAGACGACTCTCTGTGTTCGATCATCGTTGTCTCCGAAGGATTGCTGACATTCAGTGGCAACACCATGTCAGTAATGCAGAGGTTCGGCATCGTGTGTTCGGGCACAGAGATGATAACTCAATTGGTGTCACCATCTTGAAACACCGACTTCGGTGGCTTGGACATGTTCTCCGAATGTCGTCCCAGAGAATTCCACGTCGTGCATTATTTGCCGACTCTGGGACTGGTTGGAAGAAGCGGAGAGGTGGTCAGTGCATGACATGGTGTCGTGGCATGAAAGAAAGCTGCAAAGGACTGGCTTGTGTTGGTCCTTCACGACTCCCTGGCTGGGGTCCGAGAGATGGTGCTACACAGTGGCTAGAGACGTTATCAGATATGGCTCAGAATAGAAGCCAGTGGCGATCCTGCTGTAACCTTCTTTTACTTTCTTCATAAAAAGTGGTTGTGTCTCCTTTACCTGAAAGATTTCTTCTGATTGTACCTCTTGGTCATTACTCTCTTTTTCTTTTGCGTTCCTTAGTTTTTTTTTCTTTCTACTTCTCTTCGAATTCCCATTGTTTTGTGTGGCGCATATATATTGGCGCTCTCTTGTACCAATATTTATGTGTTCAAATAATAATAATAACAACTAATTGGTTCTCTGAAAAAACCTAGTATTTACCAAGCTTATTTCAAAAAGTGTCGGACTCATATATCATTAAATAAAAACTCCAGATAATGGGTCACACAAAACAAAAAGACCGTCATGCAGAGTCATTGATAAAACTTTATAGTGATAAGATTTAACAAATATTATAAAAATACAAGTTTAATAGATACGCGATCAGACAGACAGAAGAACTTGACACATGTTTGTGGGTCTAATTTACCTTCATATAAGGATAGAACTAATAAAGTAGCTAAAAATCATGGCTGTTAGTCGTCAATAATGGTGCAGATAGTTGTGGTAAACTAGAAATCCGAAAAAAGGCAGTTGAAAGAGGTAAATAAAGTATTGAATAACGTTTTTTATATTTGAAGTTGGACTGGGTATCTGCATTACTGCTAACTATTTTGAAACATTTCATGGGTTATACCTATCCGACAGATCGTATCTAAAAGTTGTAATTTCTCCCAACACCCCCGAAAATTAGTCGGATATTTCTTGGTCTAAATGCTGCTAAATTTTCGTCAATCTACACCTATGCTACCAAGCATAGGGTTTCTTGGTTGGCGGTGGCTGGGCACATATTACATATTTCCTAATCTCAGTCGATCCAAATTCTCAACTTTAAACTGATATATCATTTTTATTTGGTAATGTATAAGTGAGCAATGGTTTGAATAAGTAGCTAGAGGTCAGATCAACCAAGCTTTCCACACATCGTTCCAATATTCTGATTTTAAAACGAGTCACCCTTCGCTTTTTATCTATCTGTCAACATTTTTAACTTCCAGAACTCAGTTAAAAGTATGTTTTATTCCTCGTGAAAGTTTTCGAAAAGTGGCTGTTTTGCGACTTAAGACTCTAAACAGGATAGGACTTCCAGTTAAAAATGAGCTGCTTAACCAGATAAAGATTATAATTAAGGAAAAGGGAACTATAATCCATACAGAAATATTAGATACTAGAAATAAACCTTTTCGTAGAAAGGACCACCATTTCGAGTACTGGGTTCTATAGGGTTATTCATATTTTGTAATAATTCATGTAAACTCTGTGTGCTGCGTCAATTCATAAATCCGTAGCAGGCGGTTTTCTTGACGATGACCGTTGACCAAATTAGGGACATATAACCTACCCTCTCTTGGATCCCATATTACCACCTCAGGATTTGATAATTTCCTTGAGTAATTCATATGCTGGTCGAATCAATTTTAGTTTTAGTCGTTTGGTATCCTCCTCATTTGTAGAGACGTCCCAGTTGAGAGGTTTCTCGAAAAGGCTACAAATGTGTGGTCCACTGTACACCGTTTATGTGGAAAGTATGCTGAAAGTATTTTGGTTAGTAATATATCCAAGTTGTAGTGTCTTCTAAAAGTCGACCAGTGGTAAACATCATATCGGTATATTTGATTCTTGGATATTTTCTAAAGCGTTTATAAGCAAAATTTCTGAGAAAATTCATCTTTATCATATGCGTTGTTTGTCTTACTAACTTTCCCATCAATTTACTGTGTTCACTGTGTAATTCTTTTTTAGGTACTTATGAAATTAATATGTGACTTTAGTAACATGGAACAAGTTATGACTGAACTAAAATATGATTCACGCCGAGCTCCTCTAGGAAAGCTTAGTAAATCACAAATTTGTGCAGGTTATACAGCATTGGATAACATATCCCAAATGATTGGTGCTTTGTCAGCTTTAAGTCAAGCGTGTAATACTGAAACAGAAACTAAGCCAAGGGGCAGAGTAAAACGTATCGTCAAAACAAATGTGGGTGATAAACGTAAACTTGAAGAACAATTACTGTTGGCCTGTAATGATTTCTATACACGGATACCTCACGATTTTGGGTAAGAGAATGTTTATGACCATTGCAATCAGCAAAAATACAAACTAAAGTGATATGCTGTATGACCAAAAGATCTCATTTTAGGCTTACTATCTCGTAACTAACTCTCTCTAACTATTTTTCTCATACAGTAATGATATATCTGTTTATTCGTGTTGTCGCCTAAGTGTTACTCTAGTGGATAAATTCGCATTTTTTTTATCCTACGAAAGGGTATCGCAATTTTTTATTGTTTACATCTACAATAACATGTATCCACTGTACGATGCGTTATTTACATAAGGTGAAAGTGTTAAATACTACGGAGAGTAGTACTGTTGTAGAAAACGAATGTATTATTACCCTTGTTTGCTCCTATAAAGGATTTGACAAGGTGCGGGAGACTAGTAATATTGAAAACCCTTATTGTTGTGAGCAACCAAAATCTACCAATTCGCAAAGATTCTACGAGATTTGGAAAACAGATCTGCAATCCATCCTCGACTCATCCATATAAAGACATTGTTGTGACTTTGAAGCCCTGCTAATAATTATAGGTTAGCTGTGGAAAGTACCGGATATGTATTAAAAACCGACGTATTAAACATGGGGAACACCTATCTTTTTTATTATTCGTCATATGCGCAAATAAAATATCAAAATGCGTAAAGGGCTAGTGGATCCCCTCATATACCCAGATAATATGATATTGTTTACCGAAACAGCGCCGTAGCTGCAGTACAAACTTGATACGTTGCGTAAGTTATTGGGCTGAGGAGGCCTGTAAATAAACCTCACCAAGCCATTAACCGTATTTTTCAGTAATATTTGTTCATTTTAAAATATGCAATTCTTATGTTTAGCTTTCCTTAATAATTGATTTTGGTATCCTATTCTCTACTTTTCAACTTATCAGTCTCCCCTAATTTTTCTGTTATGGTGTTTTGTTGTAAGGTAGAGCAACCGATCACTTATGTCAGATATGCGCTGTAATCAAGTTAATAAATTTAGTTCAACTTGACTTCTGTTTTCATAATTATGACATTTTAATACTTTTCTAATACGGTTATTTTAATAAGAAATGTATGTCGACTGTCTTTATGATTTTTTTTTCGTTTTTTACTTTTCTTACAGTATGCGTATACCACCGGTTATTCGTACAATGCCTGAAGTCAAATCAAAAATTGAACTACTAGAAGCCTTATCCGATATTGAATTTGCTGTAAATATTTTGAAGAATAATCAATCATCTACTGAAAATATTATTGATGTAAATTATAAACGACTGAATTGTGACATTAAACCTCTGCGATCAACTGATCCAATGTATTCGGTAAGAATTACACATACATGTATACCGAACTGTTTTATGTATCTATTTTGCTTTCTGAATTGTTTCAATGAATGAATAAATAAATTCACCTCACTCATTTGGTTGATTTTAGTGTAAAAGATATCGGAAAATGAAAAGTAGTCTGACGTACTCTTTCGATATCTCGTTCCACAACTAGTATTGATTAATCGCTCAGACATAATAGTGACCGATAGTTTATACAAATCAAAGGTTATTTCCATCAAAAACTGACGTAAAATGGACTGGGTCTTGTGTAGGATGATTTTATGCTAAATCTTCACAAGACGACTACCTTAGTCAACAGATACCAGTTGAGTTATAGGAATGTCGTATAAAACACTGAAGGTTTAGCGATAACCTTTATCACAAATTTCACTGTTGTCACTTGTATGCATATTTGATTCTTTTATTTAGTACGAGTGAAATATAGTGCAACTGAGCACCATAAATAGTATGCGCCACACTAAAAAATATTTGTATATGGGCTAAGATAAATTTTCAGCTCCAAAGCTGGAACAAGTGCAGTCTGTGGGAAATGCAATCTGGAAATATTAGTTTTTGATGTATTTCGCACAGTTGCTCACATGACTATAGTTCTTATGATGAATTAGCCTTGAATATTTTGGTAGAATACACCAGTGCATCGCAATTCCGAGAATTCTTTTAAAAAAGTGAAACGGACAGTTGCTTAGTACTTAACTTGTTTGTCAGTAGTAGTTATTTGACAAATCACAACCCATACTGTGAAATTTTACATCCTTGTTGTCAACTTCAACGTTACAATATTCTAACATTTATTTTATCAATTAAGAAAATTTCGCGACTTATTACCTCGGCTACCCAAGCTGATGTAAGTTAACTGTGTTTCGTTGCAGCTGACAGACAAGTGCTTTAAGCATTAAATTGACTATTCAGACTTTTGCTCAAGTAAGTTATAGTGTAGCCAGTTCTTAACTTCAATCAGTAGGTAAGTCGGTAGTCAGTGAAGTGTAAATTAAAAATTTATTAATTTAATTCCTTGTACATGCCATTCCTATTACTTTGACTGTTCATCGTCTGTCTAAATGTTAAATATTTTTGTTGTCGAAGTTGTTAACCGATTACATGCACGAAACACATGGAGTTACACATAATTGGTATACATTGGAAATATTAGATATATTCGAATGTCAAAAATCTGCAGAACAAGGAGAATTCAAAGATTACGGAAATAGGTAATTTGAAAAAAAAACCCAACATTTCTCTGATTTAATGTTGAATAATATAGTTTTTTGACAGGATTGTGTGTATAGTTTTATGGAGTAAGAGTTACACCAATTCCTTTTTATTTTGTAACACATCATGAAAATATCTCATGAGAACTGTTTTATTTGTAGGGACCTAACAGATATTTGACAAAATGTGACTGTTTATTGTATATGTTTTGGAGGTGTATAATTAGAAGAACTGCGTATATATATCACTTATTATTAGTCTCATTGCCTTTATATAACCTCTGAATGATTACTTCCCAACATATACAGACACGTAGATCTTAACTATGTTTATTCATACACTTTGTATCCCTATTCTTCTGATTATTGTGATTTTAGTTACGTTTCGAACATTCATGTAAACTGCACATACTAAGGTATGCTAAAAATTTGTCAAGAATTATATTTACCAGTATAGGCTTGTGGAGATTGTTGAGTTTGCATTGATATCATGAATGGATGAATGTTAGACCACCATTTAAAATCTGGAAGCACCAGTGCGTGTTCACGACTCTGCATATGGGATTTGAACCCAGGACCTTCTGTTTTGCGCTCGAACGCTTAAATTTAGACCACTGAACTGGTATCAAACGGTATTAATATCTGACTTCAACCGATCCACAATATTGCGTCCCATACCAAGATTAAACGTCCGTCCAGTACTTCCAGGTGTTGAAGTTGTACATTAACACTTTTGGGTACCGGCTCAATGGTCTAGAGGTTTAACGTTCGCGCGCGAGACTGAAGGTCCTGGGTCCGAGTCCTATGGTTGTTTAACATTCATCCATCCATGATATCAATTTAAATTAAGTTTATATTAATAATCGTAATTTCAGGTTGTATGTAGCTGATAACAAACCATAGACTGATGAATTCATTTTATTCTTCAAACCTTGTTATTCTTGGTGTGTTTAAATTTATCAAGTGATCTGGTTGTACAATATTTAATCTATACATACATTTATCTCTAGTTTTTCATTATCATTATAGGATGCTTCTTTGGCATGGAAGTCGTTTAACTAATTGGGTTGGCATTTTAGGCAGAGGTTTACAAATTGCTCCGCCTGAAGCTCCATCTTCTGGTTATATGTTTGGAAAAGGTGTATATTTTGCTGATTGTTCATCGAAATCAGCCAATTATGTTTATCCAACACAAGCTAACAATGTTGGACTCATGATTGTTTGTGAGGTAAATTATATATATACTGCTGAGTATTTGCAAACTAAAACGGAAAAGTTCACAAATAATTTCCTGATTTTCATTAATTCCACAACATATAACTAAAACTATCATCTTAGACTTCTAGTCGCCTTGAGCAACAAGGTGAGCATATTTGATATGCGTTTCTTTCCCTTCCAATGAGTAATATTGCTTTAAGTCTATCAACTCCTAGACTAGTGATTTAATGAATTGGTTAAGAGCATTGATCACTTCATTTATTTTAGAAGTCTTATGAACCCAAGTTAATCGGTGTCTGTTGCTTTGTAACAGCTTATGTCATCTGTGGTATTTGCGCGATGCACAACTGTCAATAAAGGGATATGTGTACTGTGCAACAGCTTGTTCTCTTTTGATTCATGGCTGTCAAACATGATTTTCTAAAGTTAAAAACATTAGGTTGTTAATATTCGATCATAGAAATCTTCCAAATATTACCCGCGTATAATGGAACAAGAAAGCGAGCTATTTCTGTTTAGATTACTAAGACGGATTATTCTTTGATAGTATTGAACTTTCATTAAGTGGGGGTAGCTGAAGTGTATCCTGCATTTAGCCAGTCACTACCTACCCAAACTCATAATCTTGACTGGAACAGAAGTAGTTGGAAAAAAGCTAGACGCAACGGAACAGAAAATTGACAGCATCCCATGAAGTTAGTGATTGTTATGTTGTTGGTTGCAGAGTACCTTATTGAATTGTGACCAAACGATGAGAATTCACAATCTCATCAATTGATAGACCATCTTTATCGAGTAGCGTAAAATTAACCTCGATATCACTCACATAATCTTGTACTGTATGTATACTTGTGTTAGCGGGATTTAGATGGGATTGAAGCATGTTCCGTATAGTATTGTTTTGGGGCACGTTGAATGACTATTTTTAACTCATCAGCGCTAGCGGAGACTTGGAGAAGACTATGAAATCTTATGTAAAAATTATAAATATTACTAACGTCTTTCTTATTGTGATTTTTATTTTCATCTACCCTTGTTATCGGGAATATAATTACATTCCAGTCCAACCATGTTTTGATTTGGGGACTTGTGGAGTGAAGTAGTGTCCAAGAAATACTAAACAGTAAGAGCAGCTGGGTCGTACTAAGAGAAATAAAAACATCTTGATAGATAAGTTGTACTAATACATAGTTGTATTTTTGTTCAGACTGTATTAAATCTTATAAGCCTTATTATTTTACTCGTTTAAAATGACTAATTACTGTGAATGTTTCCTATCCTTAATCAAAAATCCATCTCATTTTATTTTATCATTTAAATGATCAGCAATCTTTATCATTTGTTCTTTTTTATTGAAATCATCTAAGGTCTCATTAGGTAAACAAAGAGAATTATATCAATCATGTTCTAATGCTCATGAAAATCTCGCTGATTATCATAGTGTAAAAGGTGTTGGTAAATGGCGAACAGATTCTGCAACATGGAAAACTTTGTAAGATGTTTATTTGTGTTGTTTTCTGCTTCGAATATGTATTTTTTCATTTTTATATCATCTTATATAAATAGATATATACTATCAAAATGGGGGTTTGTGGAGATTGTAGTAATATTGGTAGTTAAATTCATGAGTCGATCTAAGCTAGACCACCATTGGAAACCTAGAAGCACTGGACGGTCGTTTCATCCTTTTGAAGAGTCCCATATGATGACGAAAACGGCCGTTCAATGCTTCCAGGTTTTCAATGGTGGTCTAGCTTAGATCGATTAATGAATTCAACTATTAAAAATATCTTTTCTACTCTATCATTTATCATATGGTAAGTATTTTCAACTTAGTACTAGTCCATCATGTGACTAATATTGGTAAACTAATTAATTGATTTTTCCTTTTGTTGCATAGTTTATTATACAATTTAAATTATTGTTTAAGCAGAGAAAATCTACTCTGCTCAATTCTGGTTGTTTTGCTGGATCTGTACACTTTTAACCAGTACAGTACAATATGAAAATATGGCAAATATTGCGCATTGTTTCAAATTGTTGTCACATCATTTCAACTCAGAGAAATGAAATTGTGAAAACTTATACCTGGAGTAGTTGAAATAGTGACAGTATCATTAGTGGTATTGAACGCTAGACATAGAGCATATGGTTTGGGAAAATATAAATTCATAGAATAAAAACGTCCAAAATATTTTCGCAACTCAAGATATAAGGAAAAATAAAAATGGATGAGCCTGAAATATTACAAGAGATTCTGAGCAGCATCACTGTTGTATCTTGAGATTAAGGTTCGGTACAGGCCTACAGTAATTACCTAATATTGAACATTTGAGCGTATTCTAGTATGAATAATATCTATGACGGACTTTGCAGAACGGTAACAGGCACACAACAACACTCCAACGTTAATAAGCTACACCCTTACACTCGATAGAAAAGATGGGACTTCCTGTATATCCTACTATTTCATAAAAAATTCAAACATTGCAAGTAGTCGACTCTATTTATATATTTACATCCAATACCCTTGGGACGCCTAAAAAAACCAACAAATTAAAAATGGAAAGACAACTAATCAAATAATCACAAAGGTTATTGAAGAAAGATTAATTTAAAACATGTCCTCCAAGTTATGTTTGAAAAAAGAGCTAACCAACTGTTGATTATGACAGTCGCTCAGATTTCAACCAGGTAGTCCGCACCTACCTACATGGCTCAAATTAATGGTCTATGATTATGGATTAATGGCACCGGTCAAGTTAACAACCATTATATTCTAACCAGTTAAGTATTTGATTTCATTCCAGTTCTGGCTATGCGGCTAGGTTCCCGTTCTGTCTTCATTTACGTAATAATTTGAAACTAAGATTGAGGTTTTGTCCCGTTGTCAGTCGAAGGCTGTTACTCCTCAGCTAATGAAGCATCAGACTTGGTAATCTGACAGCGTTTACCTGAGTTTGACTTCATTTCATTTTCGTTTGTTGTGCTGCTGTGAAATATAGCAATTTAAACCGTATTATTACTGCAAAATAACTAATTCAACTGTATGGAATAAACGGAGTGTGGCTATCAGCAGAATCCAAAACGCTTGTTTCGTCCCACTTGGGACTCTTTAGCTAGATGTACCTGCATCTCAGTGTTCAGGTTCATACCTAGACTCAAACCCAGCACCTTCCGCTTTCAAACTCCTAATAATGATATGATTATTATTCCGTCTTAAAACTTATTTAAAATGACACAAAGAAGAGACGAAAAACACCAATGGTGGAGAAGATTTGTAGCTCAGGTGGATGATTTTGATGGAGTTTTGTTCTCTGAGCTGGATGGTTTGGTCGTGGAGCTTTCATCGTTCCTAAGACAGAGGAAACTCCAAAAACACCAGAGAATTTTTAGAAGCCTGGCACTCAGGTCAATCAGCAATCAACAAACATATTGAAATCAATCCAATTTATCAACCAATCAGGAAAATCATGCATAAATATGGGAACAAAAATCAAACCAATGAGCGACACAACCAAAACAAAGAAGTAAACAATGATAAATTTAAGGTCAACAAGAACCAATCAACATCGAGGTGCACAGAACAAGCTGTGAAACACATATGGAGAAATTCGAACACTTCACTTCTATCTGAAGTTTGTGCTGATGATGTCATTCAGAAGAACGATGAAAGCTCCACGACCAAACCATCCAGCTTAGAGAACAAAACTCCACCAAAAAACACCAATGCTAGATTATGACTTATCCAACATTGAGAGCAGATCAAACATTATGTTTTGAATACACAGATTTCTATACGTTTTTGACTTGATTAATAATAACCACTTACTTCAAGTAAATTGAACTTGTTCACTATTTTATTAGTTATTCACTATATGAAGACAAGTTAAGAACATCATAAAATTGAGCTTACTACACTCAACATTTAATAACTTACCGTCTTCTGTTAAAAACCTTGTATGAGTTTGTGCAAGGTTGTACATTGTTTATGATCGACTGGATGAATTTATTGACGTACTTCTCACAAACTAACCATATTCTTTTTTAAAAATAGGTTGAGGTATGTTAAGTAAAGTCACCTTTAACAGTACAACTGCATATCGAAAATGAATAACTTTGATTCAGTAAATATTTGTTTAATTAAGTACAGATGTGTTCTGTGGACATTTTAGGTGTAAACTTGGAGACAAATTTTTATCACAAACTAACATCAACTAGATAATTCTTGCAAACCAAGAGCTATCTTAGTTAGTAGTTTGTTTGATAACGTTGACTATTGCTTACTCATTAGATATCAGTTTATTGCTTGTTTGTGATTGCTTATCAGCTATTACCCCAATACCACGTTAGTATATTACAGTTGGTTTTAACAGACCATTTATCAAATGTCTGTCAGTCGCAGTCAAAGAAACATTGCTCAAGGTGTATCGATTACCGCTTTATCCACAGAGGTAAAATGAATATGCGCGACCTAAATATTAACGTCGAATAAAAGAAGTTAGGCCAAAATAGCGTATCAGTTGATGTGCCTGAAGTAAATAGAATATGTGTTACGCACGCCCAATCAATGTATAATGTTGGATGGTGTTTCAGCGACCGAACTAAGGTTTATCGTCCTTATGTGAAATTATTGATTTCTGTTCTAAGCCATCTTGTTGGTTGTAGTGCACATGGTTGGACTCTTAGAGATAACCGTAATCAGCGATTAATTACACCGTGTAATATGGCTTACAGTTAATCTCAGTGACCTAGAAACTTCCTCTCTTTATCTCTTGTTTAGATCTTCAGTTATAGTATCCCTTCTCACATTCACAGTCTGACATATATTATTTATACAATGGAGGCTGAGATTGCATTCTACACTCAATGGGCAAGATTAAGCGAAAAGGACCAATAAAGATTTAGAGTTAACATAAGACCGCTAATTCTGATTGGACGTGTAATTCATTGATTTAACACAAGAACAAAATCATATAAGTCAGTATTCAGATTGACGATTTTATTCTATAATAATTAGCAGAGAAAAAAGTTATAAAAGTTTACATATGGTAGTCTTCAATATTTTTTAAAGAAGATTCTGTATAAATTCACTTGGTGTTGTTTTATTTGTTATTTAAGATTGCAATTGATCAGTCTCATGTTGGTATATTGTGCTGTGCTTCCTGTGCGGATTGCCTCGATATAGTCTTAAGTCACAAGCTTTTTAAGCAAAGATGGATAGTGGCTAGCAGTGGAATTCAGGACGCACGTTTCGTCCTATTCCATTGCTAGCCACTACCCATGTTAGCTTAAATAATTCTGTATAATTTTATTTTCATAAATTTTTCTTCTATCATTTAGAAATGATGGTGTTATAGTACCATGTGGAAAATTAATTCAAGCACCTGAAATTGAAGCAAATAAATGTATTTTACAATTTAATGAATATATTGTCTATTGTGTAAATCAAATACGTTTACGATATTTACTGAAGGTGAAATTTAATTTTGTTCATTAAAATATCTTTGTCAGTATTGTCCTATTTGGTTGTTGTTATTTTTCCCTAATTTTTTTTCTTTTTACATACAAATTTTATTGACTGTAACGATCCCTTTTAGTAACTCTGATGTTTTCGTTTTTTATATATGATAAGATTACTGAAATGTTTTTATTATTATTTTGTATAATAAAATTTATATACATATAATCTTGATCAATGATTAGATCTATTTTTTATTATGAGTTGGTTTTCTTTTGTTGTTTAGTCATAACAGAAGGGTTTTTGTGGATATTATAGTAATTTCAATGGTTGAGATCATGAGTCAATTGAGGCTAGATCAACACAAAAAACCTGGACGGCCGTTTCGTCCTATTGTGGGACTCCCCAGCACTGTACATTCACGATCCCGCTCCGCGAGATTCGAACGCGGGACCTACCAGTCTCGCGCGGGAGCGCTTAATCCCTAGACCACTGAGCTGGCATCCAACTGTGTTAATGACTGACTTCAACCAATCCACGAAATTGAGCGACTGTTTAGTCATAATTTAATTTTTAAGCAATTGGTATATCTTCCAACAACATTCTTTATATATCGTCTGTAAAATCAGTAACTTTTTACATTACCAATAACACAAAGATCAATAAAATAGACTAAAACTACTCATTGCCTTCTCGTGGCGGGGGTGTTGTTTACGAAAATGAGAGAACGAAAAGCGAATGTCCGGCGCTTTAACTGGATCCTAAACCAATGGTGCACATGGGCTCCAGTATCCTGCAGGAACAAATGGCGTATGAACCAATCGTTGGTAACCGGCTACCATAGGATTGCATCTCTTTACGATGCTCCACTGCCTTGTAGGTTAGACCTTTAGGTCAAAGGCTCGGGGAGTGGCCCCCTAAGATAACCACCTGCTTCAGTTTGGGCACCCGGGCAGTATCACAGCCCACACACAAATAATGAACTCTATGTCTATGGAAACTACTTTTCTCGCTTCCAAAAACCATCAATTGATTCAAATTATTATCATTACTATTATTGTCATTATTAATATTATTGTCATTATTATTATTATTATCCACATTATTCAGCCTCTTTTATACTTACTTATACAGCGGCTCGTCTTTGGTGGAAACTCAGTTCTATCTAACCGTTCTCGAGTCACTGTCCGGTTGAAAATTGTATGCTACCACCAAATATGAGTACTCAAGCAGTTTTTCTGAAAATACGTGCATCATTCAAATTGGCTGCCTTCAACGTTCGCACACTTATGCAGGTCGGACAACAGATAGGGCTGGCTATGTCTTAATATCGACGTTTGTTGTCTATCCAAGATCCGTATTCAAGACTATGGTGAAGTACTAAAAATTCGCTCTTCATCTGTCGCTTCGAAAAGCTTGTTTTGCGTGTGTTTATCCGGAAACCCTGTGGCATCTTCGTCTAGTCTTCCTGGCGTTGGTGTCGCACTAAGCGCTAGAGCTGAGGCACCACTAACCGATTGGATCCCCATTAACAGTCGGTTATGTGCTGTTAGATTAGAAAGTTCCATCGAAGTGGGAAGAAATTGGTGTGAGAAACTATGTCTTTTCGTCATCTCCGCCTATGCCCCGACAGATTTCAGCTCAGATGCAATCAAGGATGAGTTTTACCACCAGTTAACTGTTCTTCTCCAGAAAGTGCGTCCGACAGATATTGTAGTACTAGCCGGAGACTTGAATGCTCAGGTCGGGCATCTAGGCACAGAAGAGAGTCGTTTAAGTGGGCGATGGCGACTCGTTGGTTGCAGGACAAATAACGTGTGTAGTGAACAAGAACACGGGTGGGGACAATCGATTGTATTTGGCACAAAAATTACAGACTATCTCAATATAATGTGAATACCATAAAGTCAATCGTCAATTTGCAAAATATCATTCCATCATATCAAACTGTACTGTTCCCGTTGCAAACACTAATCCATTGTCTCCCATTCCATTGTACACGCGTTTTCTTACAATTGCATTGTGTTCTTGATCTTCGCCATCTTCTGCTGCCGGACATTACGTTCTTTTAACGCACGTTATATACTACTTATATCAATATAAGTAGGTCACACCACACTCGTCCCCCCTTTTAACAAGTTGCTGTCGTAGTCTTTCTGATCTCCGTACCGCTGTGTTCTTTGGTGCTTTTCGTGATTCACACCCATGATGATCTTGAAACCATCTCTGTAGTTGACTAGCATTTACGCGCTTCTGTTTGTCTTCTCTCCGGATCGTGTAGACCGAGCCGCGTCTCTCCGTGATTACATACGGTCCTTCCCATTTTGGGGCCAGCTTCCCCGACCCTGCTCCCCCTGCTATGTTACTTTTTCGTTCTCTACACTTTACTAGGTCCCCCACTGCAAAGGGTTTCCACGTTCTCCTCTGTTGTTCTGCCTTCTTTGTGTCTGATATTTGTTTCTTTTCCACGTTCCTTATTGCCTCTCTCCTCTCTTTTCCTAACCTTGTTGTCGTCCACTTCTGTTGTTGTGGCCAGGTCTTATTATGCATTGGAAGTCGTGGTTGTCTGCCATACATGAGCAAGAAAGGTGACTTCTTGGTTGTTCCTTGTGTTGAGGAACGATGTGCCAGCAAAATCAATGGTAACTCTTTCTCCCAATTTCCTCCTTTTGATGCTAACCATTCCTTTAACGTCCGATTGTTTCTCTCTGTAAGCCCGTTTGTCTGAGGATGATATGGTGTAGTTCGTATTCTCTTGATGCCAAACTGCTTTAAACGGGCTTTAAACTCGTCACTTTCAAAACAGGGACCCTGGTCAGTTAACATCATCTTCGGTATTCCGTGACACGCTACAATATGCCGGATTACCACCTCGGTCACTGTCCTTGCCCGCTGGTCTGCAATGGGTACGGCATCTACCCAACGTGTGGCATGTTCCGTCATCACTAACAGATACTGGTTACCGCTCGCCGTCTGTGGAAACGGTCCCATCACATCAACCGACCATAGATCACCGACTGCGGTTACTGGGATTGACTGTAATGGCGGTTGTGTGTATCGATTGCTTTTCATTAGCTGACACTGCTGGCAGGTTAACACGTATTCAGCCACATCGTCTCTCATGTTCGGCCAGTATGCACTTTGTCGTAGTAAGTCCGTCGTTCTTGCGATGCCTGTATGTGCTACCTGGTGACACTCGTGTATCACTTTACGCCGCCAGTCTTTCGGGATCAACGCCACCCAATTTTCATCATCGTCCTGCCAGGTCAGCACTCCATATGAGTTCACTCTCAGTCGATCCTTTTGCCGAAGCAGCGTTATTACCTCCTTGTCCATTGTTCGTTTATCTACGTCTGCTCCCTCTTTTATCACTCTGATTACCTCTCGAAGGTTAGGGTCAGCTTTCTGCTGCCGGACGAGTTCTAATGGGTCTCCCTCTAAACTATTCACCGCGTATGCTGTTAATGGCAGGTCGGCTTCCATGTCTGGTCTTGACAAGTAATCTGCCATTACGTTTTCTTTTCCTGGAACATGGCCGATACTGAAATCGTATTCTTGCAGGCGTATCATCCATCGCGCCAACTTCCCTCGGGGGTCTCTTGCTGTTTTCAACCACTGCAGGGGTTTATGGTCAGTCTCAATGTGAAATCGCCTACCTAAAAGGTACGGTCTCCATTTTTCCACTGCCCACACGATCGCTAAACACTCCTTTTCGATGGTTGAATACTTCTGTTCAGCAGGTGTGAGGACGCGACTCGCGTATTCCACCACTCTATCAGCCTGACTCAACACAGCACCTATACCATGATCACTCGCGTCTGTGGCCACTGTAAACAGTCTTCCCGGTTCAGGCAGTCTAAGCGTCATCTGGCGATCGTCTAGCATGTTTTTGATTCGGTTGAACGTTTGTTCGGCAGTCTCAGTCCACGTAAACTTGGTGCTGCTCAATAACTTATATAAGGGTGCTGCTATTTCGTTGAAATTTTTGACAAACCGACTGTAGAACGCCGCTCTTCCCAGGAACTGTCTCAACTTCCTTTTCGAATTAGGTACTGCAATATTTTTTATGGTAAGAATTTTCTCCGGCAATGGTTTTATTTCTCCATTTCCCACTTTATGTCCCAACAATGTGAAGCTACTTTTCGCTATCTGCGACTTGTCCTTATTAATCCGAAGTCCAAATTCGTCAATTCGCTTTAAGACCGCTTCCACATGTTTGATGTGATCTGTTTCTGTTTGACTGTACACAACTACGTCGTCGCCATATACCTCGACATTATCTAGATTCTTGAGCAGTAGTGTCATTAATCTTCTGAACGTGAACGGTGCACCCGCCAACCCGAACGGCATTCGTTTAAATTGATACTGTTTATCCCGTACAGTAAACGCTGTCTTGCTCCGATCACTCTCTTTTATAGGCAGTTGCCAATAACCTGACCGTAAATCCAGCACTGTAAACACTGTGGCATTCTGTAGCCGATCTAATGTTTCCACCACTGTTGGCATTGCACAAGGCTTCAGGTCTGTTATATTATTCAATTCTCTGAAGTCGACACAAAATCTATACTTTCCATTTGGTTTCTTTACCAAGAGTACCGGCGAGCTATATGGGCTGTCCGCTTCCTCAATTATACCTTCTTTTAACATTTCCTGGACCTGACGATTTACCTCGGCCTCTAAATGCACCGGGACACGACGTGTTGCAAATATATTTACTCGACTGTTCTTTATCGGTATTTCGTGCTTTACTCTGTCACAAAATCCATACGGCTCCTCATCTCCAGTGAATAGTTTCGCATACTTTTTGCATAACTCGTGAATGTTTGGTTTCTTTGACGAGACATCCGCTGCAACTCTTATTTCAGCCACTTCGCTACTTTCGTGTATTGTCAATGAACCATATTTCGTGACCACCTTACCGCTTCTTAAGTCAACTATCGCTTTTACTTCTCTTAGGAAATCTGCTCCTAATATCGGTCTCGATAAGCTTGTGGTTACGACGAACGGAAAATTTATCTCCGCATCCCCCACTTTTACGATACTGTTAGATACACCAAACACCTCTAACATATGGCCCCCTATAGTGTGGACAGCTAATGTACACGGCTTGATTCTCTTACATTGCTCTTTGCCTATTAACGATACTGCTGCACCTGTATCGATCAGACAAACTAAATCTCGCTCATTTATGTTCACTCTCGTATATACTGCCCCTCTGTCTACTAACG